AGACAGGCATATACATTATGTTGTCACATGCTTTGTTCTGGACGGCAGTGACAACTCGTACTAGCAGTAGTAATACTAATGCTATATATAAGGAACATGTGCATAATGTCCCTATATATAATTAACATGAACAATAACAACAAAAACGATAAAGGATGACTTTTGGATTTCCTTACTCATTTTCTCTCGAATGAAAGAATGCAGGTCTATAATAAATAAATGAAAAAGATTATGAGATGATTTTCAATACACACTTGAACAACAATGAATGTAAGCAACCTGGTGCACTAAGCTCCCACTATATGCGGGGTCTGGGAAAGGGCCGGGCCATAAGAATCTATTGTACGCAGCCTTACCCTGCATTTCTGCAAGAGATTGTTTTCACGGCTCGAATCCGAACACATGGCAACAACTTTACTAGTTACGTCAAGATTTCCCGTCAAACAACACTGAATGTAACCATTTGATTAATATTTCCGTTACGATGATTTAATTTGAGCATGTTCATCTACAGTGAGTCATTGACTAAAGCACATGCAAAGTGAGAGACACCGTTGGATCGGGAACATATCACGTCAACCTTCAATGATGATATGTAAAGTAGTTCAAATTCTTGAAAGTCAGTGGTAATTCATATAACGAAAGGAGTTTTTGCAATGAGACAGAAATAATGATATGCTTTTAGTAAATGGAGATAGAGAAAATAAAATCAAAGTTGATCATATTATCTGTTAGAAATGAATATACAAATAATCACCTTCATTAATGAGTATATCTTTCTTAAGAAATTATTGATCTTAAATAAACTTATATCAATTTTATTTTTTAAATACTTGTATCCAGTGAGGCAACTGTTATAAAAAATGTTAATATTATTCTATAATCATTTGAAAAAGAAAGTCTTTTTATTTGATTAAGTATATCAATTAGATTATTAGTATATTCTATTTGTAATATTTCCCGTAATACTTTTAAAATCCTATAAACCTATCATTTCAAAAGAACGAGGTTCCCCAAAATTTGGGTTCCTAAAGCATAAGCGTTACTAACATTAGGACCGGCCATGCAAATAACGATACACAAACTTGTGCTGGATCAAATTTGGTAATGGGGCTGCCTTGTGTTGCCTCTTGTGGTCCAAGATAGGTTCTGCACTATCTTGGATGAGGAGTTAACAATGAGAAGCAAATATACTAAAACAGAGTACACTTGAGGTTAATTTAATTTAGTAATTATACAATTCATAAAAAATGACACATATTAAGTAAATCTTGATAAGAGTTGGGAGGGTTACCGAATTTTAGCTCATCTTGACCCAACCTATTTTGACCTGCACAAAATCAGTCCAACCTGCCCATTTGACACCCCGATCGATAACATAACAACCCCTTAGCAACACACTGATATAACCACATTACAACAGAATAATGCATGCGTTTAAATGCTCAAAGGCTCCATACTTGTATTACAAGGCAGAAACACAAGATCCTTGTACTATTTTCTATGATGACTTGATCCATTGAATGAAATTTATGAAATTCTGGTAAGACCTCCCTCCTCCTTTGACAGAGCTCATAGCCATTTCCTTGAATTGTAAAGCTCTTTTCTTGAATTCAACATATCCCATCAACTGTTCCACCTTATGCTTTATTTCTACCCTATTGATGATCCCATTAGCCTCTTTCTTTAGTCCTACTCCAACCTTCCATATATCACAAATGTAGCTCTGGTTCATAAACTGGTCAGCAAAATAAGGCCAACATAAGATAGGAATTCCATTGCTTATTGCTTCTATTGTTGAGTTCCAACCACAATGGCTCACAAAACAACCTATACTAGGATGACTTAATACCTTCAATTGTGGTGCCCAACTCACTATTTGCCCTTTCTTCTTCCCTATTCTATCCATAAAAAAATTCAAGAAAACATCTGTTTTAGCATCTAGAGCATCAGTCCTCACAACCCACAAGAATGACATGTTTGTTAGTTCAAGCCCCAATGCTAATTCTTGAAATTGAGATTCATTGAATAATGTGAAACTCCCAAAAGCAACATACACAACTGAACATAATGGTTGCTGATCAAGCCAGTTTAGGCAAGTCGATTCCTCGGGCCAGAAGGATCCGGCCACTGAACTAATTTCACAATTAGGAGATTCTCTGGAAGAAATACGGGGTTCTGCTTCTGGAAGCGACATGCTCGGATCGAGACAATTGCTTGCCAAAAGAGGACCTATAGGCACAATCTCTGGTGCTAAGTTGAAGGCTCCTGGTTCAAGGTCATATACTGAGTTGCAAATTAGCCAATCTGCTGATTTCACAGCTTTGTTGTTGTGAACCATCATGTCAAAAATGATTTTCTGCATGGTCAAATTCCCCATGCGTGTCCAAACCAAGTCTGATGTATTCATGATAGGCATAGTTGGTTCAAACTGAAAAGTATGGTCCTTTATTGCTGGAGTCCCTGCATTAAAGGTAATATTTTCCACTTATAAATAAAGAGTTTAAGTTCTAACTACTAATATTTACACAATCATGCCACTTATAAGGTGATTACAAGTAATCTCTAGTAATTAGTAACCTAGTAAAACTGGTAACTTCATACTATCAGTTACGCCTCGCCTTCTTGAGTGTCGTGGAAGTGCGACATAAGGCAAGGAAATCGATTTTCGTGTGATTACTTTTGTGCTATTCTGGCATACTCAACGGGCTTTTTATTTGTCACACAGAAGTCAGTTATTTTTCTTATGTCACCCTTCTCAGACACTTAAGGGAGGCATCGTGTAACATCAGTGGCGTTTACATAAGCGGTGTCATAATTTGTAGAAAAGGATAAATAAATAAATAAATTACTATAATGACAAGCGATATCATTGTCTATATGTATCCCCAATATTTTAATTTTTCAACGAAAATTTTTGACCAAGTGGTGTCCCGTGACACCACATGGCATAAGGTGTGTACGCCCCGTGTATAACACATCACATGTTAAATTACACCGACAGCGTAATACACTATTACACTGCCAATATATATATAACTTAAATCCGTACATAAAAGCTTACAATGCATAATTTGTGAAGAAACAGAAATTAGTAGAAAGTAGTTACCATTAGTGTCAATGATACCATCATCAATCAGCTTTGGAATGTTAAAACCAAGTACCAAATTAGCAGCTGCAGCTGTTAAGAAGGCTGCTCTTTTAATTCCCATCTTGGCAGCAAGTTCCAGAGCCCAACCAAGGCTCTGGTCAGCAATAACAGAAGTGATCTTATCATCCTTATATGCATTGGTTTCTTGTATTAGCTTCTCAATTTTCCCAGGCATGACTTTGAAGATTGCCTCAGATAACTTACCAGGCACATTCTTATCCTCCCCTGATTCTGATTCATCCAAAATTGAAATCAGATGAATTTGATCATGCAATATATTTTTTCCTCCTAAATAATTTATAATACGCTTGTGAGTGGCAAAAGTGATTTTGAAGCCATATTTGGCTAAGGATTGAGCTAGTTCCATCAAGGGAATAACATGGCCTTGTACTGGATATGGTATCATTAGTATGTGATGTTTGCTCATTATTGTTGATGTTCTTGTGTATGAGCATATTGTTGTGGGAGCTAGCGTTGCAAATTTATATAGCAAGAGTTTAACTTCTATAAACTGATAGCGTAAAATAATGTTTTCTCCAAATCACCAAAAATATAACTACAGATAACGACGATTAATAACTTGAAGAATAAGGTGGTTACCTGATTCTTTACTATAAGTTTAATTCATTTATGAATTATTATTTGCTACGTTTAAGTTGGGGAATCTTATTCCGTTCCTGTCACACCAGGCTATAATTTGTCACTAAGTAGAATAGATTATTTTCGTCTTTTTCGTGGCTAGTTTTAGTACTGGATGAAGCCCAAAAGGAATTAAAATAGCACTAGAAAACACAATATGGAAGATTGGTTAGCGAAGATGTCCCAGCTGACATATTGAAAACGAGGTTATGTACGAGAAATAATAATAAACTTATTATTCTACGTCTAGGTGGATTCAAAGGGATGGACGTCAGCACTTGATTCTCTTTTTAACACTGCAATTTTATCACTCCCACCCCTTTTCTCTTTCAGTCAAGGTATTGGAGTTCAATACCAAGAAACAGATTTTAGAAATTTATGGATGAAAAGATCGTTAATTAAATCCATAAATTATGACAAAAGCAAATCTTTCAAGCATTTATTCGTTGGGAAATATGGTGGATGAGATGCACTGCAAAATACTCGGGGGGAAGACTTATTTCATAAGAAAATATTTTTCGAGATTTGGCTGGAGACTCAGAAGCACGTATATTAGCGTTTTGATGAAATTTTGTATATGAAAAGTTGATAATATGTCTAAGTGAAAGTAGTGATATGAAGTTCAGAGTTGAGATAATTGTGACAAAAAAGACTTCTCTAAAAGTGAAGAGGATCAGGATATTGTACTCGGTGAATTGAGGAACGCCGACAGCCCCCATGAACTAAGTGACTGTCGGGACATTGAGGTCGATGAGGTCATGGAGGCAATGCGTAAGATGAGAAGGGGCAGAGCTACCGGACCAGATGAAATTCCGGTTGAGCTTTGGAGGTGTGTGGGTAGAGCAGGCTTGGAATGGCTTACTAAGTTGCTTAATGTTATATCCAAGACTAATAGGATGCCCGAAGAGTGGAGGTGGAGTACAATGGTCCCGTTGTATAAGAACAAAGGCGATATCCAGATCTGTAACAACTATAGGGGTATTAAATTACTAAGTCATACCATGAAAGTCTGGGAGAGAGTGGTAGANGGAAACAGCCTCTCTGCCCCTCGGGGTAGAGGTAAGGTCTGCGTACATATTACCCTCCCCAGACCCCACTTGTGGGATTTACACTGGGTTGTTGTTGTTGTTGGTGGAAAATATTTTTTTTGACAAACAAGGAAATGACTTAGTTTCTGGAAAAAAAATATTTGCAAAGATATTTTCCATCATACCAAGCACTTGCTGTACCTTGTTTTTCGAAGCTGATATCACATGGAAAAAGCTGGAAGGAGATTCTATCAATAGTTGATGGTTGGGTGTCAAATATTTCATCAAGCTCTTTTTATTCGCATCGCCTGATGCTGGAATTCTGATATGATGTATGATATTATAATTACAATACAAGGCCATAAAATGGGCAGAATCCCAATAAGAACATGTAATTCTCGAATTCTGTAGTATTATTGCCTGAGCCATATTTGATATTCTGGTCCTTTATCAACAAATTTCTGCCAGGTTCCATCCAAATGAACTTCCTTGGAAGGATTCCAGTCCAAATGACCAAGTTTCATCGCAAGGGTATCTCCAATCTGTGCAACATAACCATCATTGTTTGCATGATATATCTTTAAAGGGCTACGACAATGGATTCCAGCTCGCGTCCGCGCCTCAATTAACTCGTTTATGATATCCCGAATTCCAAAATCATAGAAATGATCGTAAAATATTACAGGCTGCAAACAAATGAGTAAGAATTAGGATGTCTTTGGAGCTTTACCTCAAGATTGAGAGATCATATAACCACCCATACTGAAATTATCAATACGCTTTAATCTTGTGAGAGAGTAACTAAGTAAATCATACATAGTTCTGTATATATCTATGCAGATACATGTGTCTGGGCGTGCCTGCGTGCATAAACAGACTATAGATTGCTGAAGGCAACCTTTTATGGTGTAAGCAACATGAGTCCATCTTCAATTCAAGAGGATATAGCAGTGGTACATCCTTCCAAAAGATCGAAGTATGTTTAACAACATGATGCTTTTCATTTTCTCGTGAAAATCTATAATTCAGAGACTCACTAGCAGCCTCATGTACTCAGTTTCGATTTAGTTTTAAAAGCGCTACTACTAATAATGACAAGGTGAAAGATTACTGATTTGGTAAAAGGGAGAAAAAGAGAGCTTTAGTCACTCAATTTAATTTGGAGGATGAAATTTTATCTTCTCCTACTTCCAGAAAGCAATAGCTGAAAATTTTCTAAAATCTACCATGAAAACAAAAGAAACAAGGATTACCGTTCCAGGGTGAGTTAAAATGTATGCATATCCTTGTGTAAGCTTATCCCGTGGAAATGGCCAATGGCCCTGAAAGAGAGGAATATCATTTATGTCATTACCTGATAAAACATTTGGTATTAACCTGATCCCATGAATTATTTGGTATTAATATGCCAAAGTGAGAATCAGATCTTCCAACTGGTAGCAATCAGTGAATCAAATGCATGAAAACAAATTACTTTTCAGTTCACAAAGCAGACAAAAGTATAAAATAGTGGATACAAATAACTTTAGCTCAATCCCAAGATAGTTGGAGTGGGCTACATGAATCCTCACTGTCCATGTCGTTCCATTTAAGCTCATCCCAAAATAATGCATGGCAACTAAAGTTGAAGTCATGTAAGAAAAGGAAAATGGTCCAAATTTGCCACTGTATACTACCCAGAGTTGCTCAATTTACCCTCTGTCATACTTTAGGTCCATTCATACCCTTGTTGTTCACAAATCGTCTTGTATTTGCCCTTGCCATTAACAAAACTCCAGCTGAAATCGGTGGACTTCATGTGGCAATATACTTCAAGAGCAAATATTCAAATTATCCATTATACTTCAAGTTGGAGCTATGTTAGGAGGCAAGGGCAAAAACGAGATTTTCCTAACGGTGGTAGAAAGATTAGACTCAAAGTATAATGGAGGGAAAATTTTACTCAATTTCAGACAGTGCAGGGGTAAATTTGACCCTTTCCCCTTTATAAAGAATTAAGCTCAGATGTAACTGCGAGTTTTACTGGAGACACTTCAGCCAACTAATATACAATAGAGCAACTGACAAAAGATCTTTATGTAATTCGCAAACTTCACTCAGATAATGGATCTCTACATCTGTAATTGTATGCAAAAATTTCAAATTTAACAGTTTCATTGGAACCCCAATCATTAAAAAAAACAAACTCGTGTTGTCCTATTTTGTTTTCAAGGTAAAACATGTGAGTTGGAAAGATGACACACACATCAACCGCTGGACCATGAATTCGAAATGAGCAAGTAAAACAAGTGCATGTGTGAGGGAGGAACGGCGAGACAGAGCCCGGGGAGGGGGGGGGTGTGGG